ATGGACAGAACAAGCGGTCTGAGTGGAGAAACTCAGGGATGATGAAATCTAAGAACTAAAGAAGCAAATGAGGAGGCATCGCATAAAGGAGCGGTTCCCATTCTACTGCCAGCACACGGGGATGTCCCTCACACAGCAAGCAACTCTTGTACACTGACTGGGTGTCTTACCATTTGTTCAATTTATTTACGACACTGCCCATCAGACCCCAGAGGTTAAGGACTCAGTGCCATAGACTTTCTCCTCTGACATGAAATGATCACATTGACAAGCCCAGTTTGTCACCTACACTTCTGACTGACCTGATAGAGATTACTACATTGCTTTCCTTGGGTTCTATTAGTTCTAGATTGACTCATAGAACTAAGAAGCTTACTTTTACCACTTTATTGGAAAAGGTGCAACTGCGGAATAGTAAGGGCAAGGCGTGGGGGTGGAACATGGAGTCTTATGGGCTCTCTGAAAGCTTCATTCTTCCCAATATTCATGAAACCAAATCCTATCCGTTGGCGTTTTTGGGAGGTTTCATTACAAAGGCATGGCTGATAACTGATTGATCTTTGGTGGTTGAACTGAGAAAGTCAAGTGAATGGGATTGAAAGTTCCAGTCTCCCAATCATGTTCTGACAACCAGCCCCATTTGTAGGTGCTCTCCAAAAGTGACTCATTAACATAAGTCATCACTTTTGCACTCGCTTCACTTAGGAAATGCCAAGGGCTCATGAGCTCCTTGCCAGAATATATAGTTCTTTTTACAGTTTACATTATTATAGGACCCCCCAAGACAAACTGCCTACTTTTTTCATTATTTTCTGTGGATTTATATACCTGAGAGACAGACTTATTTTAGTTTTTGGAATGCGGCCCTTTCTCAATATACACACTATATATATATATATATGAGTTACTTTTAGATTCTTAGAATAAATACATGCCTGTGTGCAGAATACATAACAAATATAACTACCTTTTATTTGATGTTTTGGGATCTATTTCAGTATTTTTGAGTGCCTAAGGGTTCTTTTTATCATTCAGCATTAATATTAGGGGTGCATATGGAAATTGATGGAAAATGAAATTTTCATTAGGTCATAATGTGTGTGGCTAGAAGTTTATTATATCAATATAATTCTACTTCATATAAGAAGCAGCACTATTCAGTTTCCCATTGACTGTAGAGAGCTCGGAAAAATTAATTTTAAAGACATAAATATTCTGCAGACCTCTTCATTACAATGCCCACAATATTATTGTGATCTAAGTAGCAAATGAAGATACTACATTTTTACATTCTTAGAAGCTTCTCACATTTGTTACTAATAGTAGTTAGTGCCTACTTTGTAGAAAATAAGCCACACAATCATGGTATCCACAGATGAAAGCACATTTTTCCTTTTGAATAATATGGAAAAACCAGAAGAGTCAGAGTGATATCAAATATTAAAAGGTTGGAATACTAAATCTGGTCTCCCAAATCTGGACTTTCCAAAGTTCAGTAATTTGTGTGCCACCTTCATTATTTTGCTGTATTGTGTACTACTGATATTGTTTTCTTCTAAATAGTTTTCTCTACATTGACTCATTATTGAAGCAAATAGAAGGTAACTTTAAAAACATATTCATTACTATTATCATGTTTTCCTGTTTGCCATCTAAAAGCATTATGCTTCAGTTAATACTACTCTCATAGCAGATTCTACCTGGCCCACTCGAGGTGTTGTGATCATGGACCAGTCACTCAGCTTCTCAAAACCTCTATATTCACTTGTGTATAGTGGCTGTAATGCAATCTTACTGACGAGTGCATAGCACAGGGCCTCACATCATCACGACGCAGGAATTAGAACCCACTCCAGGCTGCATTGCTGAAGTGGTTGCTGACTTTATTCTTCTTCTTTGAAAAGAACAATATTGTAGGGTTAGAAATTGGCAAATCTCAGTACATCCCTAGATTTTTATTGACCAGCTCTGTAACCTGATCAAATGTTTTGTCCTCTCCAGATCTGTTTCTTCACCAGACCAGTTGGGAGGTGTGACTTCATCCTGACACACTCCTCTCAGGCTGTTGGTTCCTTGTGAGATATTGGTGCTCTGAAAATGGAAACATTTACACTCATTTTATATTAAATGGGCTATCTGATGAGTAGACTGAGTAATCTAGGAAGTTGTTGTGTCTTTGGCTACTTTACTGCTCTCTTCATGAGTGACTGATGGTCACCAGGGGTCATGTTAGTAAGCCTGGGTTAGTTAATTGTTTTTAAAGCTGTGTGTAGTTAATACAGAATTTTGAGCCATTGAAGTTTAGTTCTAGTAAAATCACATTACAAAGCCAAGGTGTTTTTAAAGGCTTCCTCACAAAGGAAAATATGAGTAAGTTTGTTTTATACATTTGATTCATTTAAGGTATGTTGAATATGTATTTGTCAAGTATGGAACTACTCATTATTGCTATCAATACAAAAATTACATGTTTATCTCTAGTCACTTTGCCCTTGATTTATGTGACTTGCTATATCCTTTCCAGATACAAAGTTATTCAGCTTTATGAATTTCAGCCCCCTGACAAGATACATCTAGACTTAATAGTGATGAAGTTGATGTCAGTGAGGCAAAATAAAAATTTTCAAAGCCAGCTGTATAGCTTTATTTTTAAGGTGGATATGTATAAAAGTGTGGGTGCTTATGTATCTTGGCATAGTTTGAACTGGACACTGATTTTTTTCATTTAAAGATGTATCTTGGAAATTGTTCCACTTGTATATTTTCTCATTTTTTGGAATGACTCAAAATATCCATGGAATGGATAATAATAGTTATTTAGCCAGTCTCCTTATGACCATTCAGGCCTTTTCTAACTTCTGCTGTTAGCCACACTAATGCTCTACTAAGTGTTCTCTACACATGAGATCTTATGCATGTGTTAGTGTATCGGTAGGTGCAATTGCGGGGTTGGGGGAGGTGTGACGTTGACTGAAATAGCCCAGTTTCTCTTCATGCAGGCTGAGTTGGTATGTTCCCCACCAGCAATGCATGAGCAAACCTGTCTCCTCAACCACATTTTTCCTCCAAGCCTCCCCATCTTTTTATATTATCAGGTAATTTGAATATGACTTTACAACACCATGTTGTCTCTAGGAAAATGCTGATTAGATGGGTGATTATTACTATTTGTGCAAATTTCACAGAGATTGAATCTTACTCCGAAGACCACTTTCTTAACCACATGTATTTGCTGAATTAAATGGCTGCACTGTTAAGCATCTTGGAATGTATTTTACATTGCTTTAGAGCACAATTATACCAATGTAGAAAAACCTCCAATTTGCAAATTATCAACAAACTAGAGCCTTCCTTGGAGATGCATTCCATAACAAACCCAATCCATATTATGCAAAATATTTGGTTATCGCTGCAGTGTTTGTACTTTACTTTTCTTAAGTTGAAAAGGAAAAAGAATTATCTCTGGACATTCAAATTTTTTTAGATAAAACTAATATAATTTGTGGAATTGGATTAAAACACTGTGTCCTACTTTACTTTACTGACAAGTGCATAGCACAGGGCCTCACATCATCACGACGCAGGAATTAGAACCCACTCCAGGCTGCTATGTGGTTGTGTTCATGCGTGTACACATGGAGTCTTTATTGCTGAGAGTTGATGCTTCTGTGACTCCTTAAAGGAAATATAGTAGTTTGCGTTACAGAGAGACATGAATACACTCCTTCTCTTTCACAGTTAGGATCGCGTACTTCTTAAAGTAGGAACGTTGTAAAAAGATATTCAGAACCACTCTTTCTCTTTTCTCCTTGCACTACAGCCCTGCATGTATAAAAGCCAATTCCTGGAGGAATTTAGGTTTTACTTTTTTTTTTTAAAGTCAGTGTGATCTCTAAAACTAATAGCTGAGTTTTTTTATTTTTATTTTCTTCTTCTGACTTTATAAAAGGAACTTCTTTTAAATGAAGTTTTCCTCCATAATTTAACTTTCAAATATGGTCCTTAACATAGCACTATGCTAATTCACTTACATGGAAAAATGTTTCCATTGTTGACCTATTTGAAAAGCATTTGTCATGTTAGATATAGTATTTATAGTAGAGATACTGGTTAAATCTCATAGAATAACCTATAATTAATGCAAGATTTCTTGGACTTATTCAAATAAAAATACAGATTAAAAAGTTGTTAGGATCAATTACTTCCTGTGTTTTCCTTTTTAGTGCATATGTTAGATTTTAGAAGAAACATCTACATGTATTAGAGACTCTTGAATTTAAAATTGTTCAGCCCCTCAAGGAAAACTGTTGTGTTATTTTGATAGAAAATATCAAAATGAGGCTTTGTTGTGGTATCTTGTTCCTCTGGGCTCACTTTTCACCACAAATCACTGACACTCATGAAATATTCCAATGGGGGAGGGGTGGTAGGTGTGGGGAGGAAGACTAAAAAGCATTTTCACAGAACCATAGCACCCTAGCAAAATATGAATGAAAAAAAAAGAACTGGGGTACAGACCAGATATGTGGGGATTGAAAGGATTCACCAGAGATTGAGTGGGAGCAGAGCAGTGGATCTACTAAAATACACTGCTGAGGGGAGCCATGGCAAGACAGGAGAGGTCTGCTGCGCCATATGTAGATTAGTTTCCTGGCCAGGGGCAAACTCAGGCAATAGCAATGATAGCACAGACTTAACCCCTAGGCCACCATAGAGGCCCAAGAAAAATTTTTTATGTTCATAAAAATAACCATTAATCTAAAATCATCTGATTGTTCATATTCTTGTCATCAAAAAGAAATCTTTGACAGATGGCACACAGTTTGATGTAGTATGGGGAGGCATCCCCATTTTTGCAAAACCTTAAATCAGTTTCCTCTGGAGTGTTTGGGTCTAGAAGCAGATTGTAAGCTCGGGCTGGACCTCTTTATCCCTTTGTAGAAGTGACAGTAACAGTGTTTTGCCAGCCAGTTGCCCAACTATGCTACTGTGTGTTACAGGTACTTCTCCCAGCAGCTGGTCTGTTGCAGTTACAGGATGTGAAGAAGACTTGTTGTGAATTTTTGGAAACTCAGCTTCACCCTGTCAACTGCTTAGGAATTCGGGCTTTCGCTGATGTGCATGCATGCACAGACCTTCTGACCAAGGCCAACACCTATGCAGGTAAGTGGCACATTCCTTGGCAGAGCTTCAAACAGGGAAACCTGCAACTCTTGATTTTTTTAAAGATTTATTTCTTTATGCATGCAGAACTAGGGTATAGGCCAGAGGCGCAGGGGCGATGAGAAGATTCACCAGACAGAGTGGGGAGCAGAACAGGGAGATCGACAAAGTACACTGCTGAGGGGAGCAGCAGGTGGATCAAGAGAGGTCTGCCCACCATGTGGGTCACCTCTGGGCCTGGGGATTGAACTCATACCGAAGCGGCTGTGAGTCACTAGCAAGCTAGCTTGCAGTGTTGTGTTTTAACCCGTTGCACTACCAGGGAGGGCCCAACTCTTAGTTTCTGATATGATTCTCTAATGGTTTCTAGAAATGCCTGTCATGTTTCCAGACCTAAACTTTAAAAAACACATTTAAAATAAGAATAGTAGCATTATGTAATTGAAGTATGCTCATAAATTTTTGAGTTAAAATAATTAAAAATTGGTGTTGACCTAAATAATAGAATAGCTAGTTTAATAAAATAGTGAGTCCCTAATTATTTTTCTTCAAAATTTCAAATTTACAGGCTTATGAGACAATGTCAGTAAATGAAATTGTCATGTTCTCTCTTTTCTTGCATGCAAGAAATAGTCTTGTGGCTTTCAAATCTTCAAACTAAGAAAACATAGATGGCTTTGGGGAAAGTAAAAAAGAAGGCTCTGTGGAGAGACTTGCTTCTCTGCAGACACTGGTTTTCAGTGTCTCCTGCTGGCATCTCTACCCCTGGGGAGGCCCTGCTGCTCTTGTCAAGAGGTGATCAGTGTGGTTGCTGTCCAGGACCCACACCCAGTCTTCCATCCTTCTGCCAGGAAGGGGAGATTCTAGTTAAAGCGTTGGATGTAGTGAAAGTTCATAAAAGTAACCTATAATTTATTTTTGCCCTGAGTTTATGAGTATTTAAAAAATACATATTAAAAGTAGCAAAGGTGGTGATCAGGAAGTTCTAATTTTTTAAACCATCTTCCTGGAAGATAAACCTTGTAGAAGTTACAATCTACTATCCCTGCCTGCATCTGTGAGACCAAATAGCAACAGTTACTGTAGAAACTCCTGAAGCCACTGCGCTGTAGAACCTTCCATGACATTGCATTTCCTCCAGCCTCCTGGTATATAAGCTCTTCTTACAAACTTTGCTGCATGTGCTTAATCTGGTGAGTAAGAGATATTTTAGCACATAGAACTGGTAAAGGCTGTGTGTTTGTGCGCCTTTGCAGAGCGTTGGAGAGAAGTATTCTTAACCCCTGTTGTGTTAGTTTGTCAGCTAACAGTGGTTAGTTGAAAAAAGATAACCAAATAATTCATTAAAACATAACATGTCCATGGCCCTCCCTGGTGGTGCAGCAGGTTAAAGCACAGCACTAAGAGGCTTAAGCCACTTCCGCATGAGTTCGATTCCCGCCTGCCCCGGAGGTGACCACTTGGCGTGGCAGACCTCTCCTGACCCGCCTGCTGCTCCCCTCAGCAGTGTACTTCGTCGATCTGCCTGTTCTGCTCCCCACTCTGTCTCTGGTGAAGCCTCTAGCCACCCCTGAGCCTCCGGCCGCCCCTGAGCCTCTAGTCTGTACCCCAGTTCTGTATGCACAAATAAATAAATCTTACAAAAAAAAACATAATAGGTCCTGTAAATTTGAGCTCTATAGATTTTTGAGATAGCTTGATCGCCTAACTACCCTTTATAAAATTGTTTCATTGGGAAAATGTGATCTGAATTCCTGAAAGCTGATTTATGGGTAAACCTTTCGAGCACAGCCCTTCTGTGAGTTAGGGAATGCCTTCAATATGTAGTGAATTCGTGTAATCCTTCTGAGTGGTAGGAGGCATTTTAAGAAAAGCCGAAGACAAACTTGGATTCATTGATGTGCTCCACTGCAGCCAATTTTGTCCTTCAGCTAAATGCAGAGTATTCTTTGTAAATCCATAAACTCCATTAACTGCCAGACGGAGTGAGCCTGTTACATGTGATTTATGTTAGGAAAGTCAGGGAGGATTTTAACAGTTTTTGATAGTTTTTTTCTGCATGAAGCAATCACTGCTTAATGTTATGTCTTTCTTGGGCTGCTAGGTATCTCTGTAGTGCTTGATAAATGTTACTGACACTTAAGAGAGAGGGAGAGGAAATGGGAAAGGAGTAGGCAGAATTAATGCAAAAGAGATACACACATAGTCCACATGGTGTATTAGAAGTGTTAGTTATACTCATATTCAGACCTAACCCATTTGCTATGTTTTTAGGCAATAGATTTTTTTTCTTCCTCTTATTATAAAATCTTAAATTTGGCATAGCATACTGTAAACAGTTTTCCACCAGAACCATAATACCTCTGTATCGTAGCTTACAGAGACCCTCTTTATGCCGTGGTTTTGAAAACTGCCCTTTTGAGAGAAGTTTGTGTTAAGAGAGTGGTTTTCATACTGGTATCCTGAGCCTTCGCTATACTAAAGAATAGATGCTGATTATTTGAGGGTCTGTTGCAGTGTTAATTTACTGCTACAGAAAGCTCTTCTTTGGAGAACTGTGAAAGTATTTCATGTGCAGGACATCTTGAGTGAATTCATGCAGACTTAAATGACATCTCTTAAAAGAATTAATCATTTTTATGTTCTTATTCATTAGGGTCCTCTTTTATGTCTTAATAAACTGCAGTGTCTCATTCTGCTCTGTTGACACTTTATGTAGTTGAGATGAGCTAGCTGTTCTCAGGTCTCACTAAATTGTCTGTGCTAACTGAAGTGCTAGAGATATGTATATGATTCTCGCCCCCTCCCCCGCACTCCCTGTTTCCCCCCAGACTAATATTTAAAATCAGAGAATCAGTGCTACCACTTGTAGGGAACCTTAGTCATCTCTTCTAACACTTTCATTTTGTTAATTAGAAAAATAAAGACCAGAGATATTTCTGTTTTCCCAAAAGCACTTTGTGTCTTAGATATCAGCTAATTGTGGGCTTAAAACACTGTTGTTGTCCATGACCTGCTGCAGTACATACAATAAAGGGGTTTTATAGGAAAGCATTATGGCATTTAATTTTTATCAAAGAGGTGCTTGTTACTTAAAGCTCTCCGATCACACTGATTTCAAGACTACACGAAGCTTTAGTCACAGATGATTCCTCATGAAATTTACCTTTGTTTAAAAATCAAATACAAAGGGTAATGTTTAACACAGTGTACCAAGCTGAGCAAGCAAAACTTTACTTTCATGTTGTTGATTTCATTTGGAATGAGGGACTGGAGCTGATGAGTCCTATACGCCTGGCGTGACAAATCTAGGAGTTAGCTTTCATTTCTTGATAAGCTTATTTTATTTGCAGGAGAAACAAGCAGGAATGCACATGTCTATTATATTTAATGTGTGTGTTTAATGTTCAGTGCATATTCGTAGGGTAGCTTGTATTACTGGGAATGATGCCTTACTGCAGATACGGGATTTGTTCCAAGAGGACGTCTGACTATTGAACACTGATGTAGCCAGGTTAGTTTTACTCATTGGCACTGAGACTGTTAGAGGCAATGGGCTTTGTGAAATAATTTTTCTTAGGTTTAAAGGAGAGAAGGGGTAGGTTGGAGAAGAAAAAGACAGCTGTTTAATGAGAATAGACTTCTAGATTTGCAAGTTGGAAAAGTTTTAGAGATCTTTTTCACAGCCATGTGAGTACATTTAACACCATTGAATTATAGAAATAGAAATGGCTAAGAAGGTAAATTTCATGTTATATTTTACCACAGTAAAAAAAAGTGAGGTATCATCTGTCATGACTGAGGCTTCATTTAGTCTTGCAGTCAGCATGGCTAGAGAGCCACTAAGTCACAAAGCGAGGCTGAGCAGCTGTCAGAGGAAGGCACTGGCACTGTGGGGTGGAGTGGCTCTTAGTCTTGATTTCTGGAAGGAGAACCAGAGAAGTGCAGTACTGGTGTAGAGCTTTTCAGGCAGGCAAGATGATTTCCAGTAGCCATCAACAGACTTGGCCAGAGGAACTACGATCAGTTTTGAAGAGATAGTCAGCCGACATGGCCAGAGAATCTTTGCTAAGTATAAAGTCGAGGAATGAAACCAAGCCCGTAATGAAACATGCACAGTGATGAAAAAGTCATTAAAAGGGGCCGTGGTATGTGGCCTATGGATAAGCAATATAAGGATTTTAGAGACTGCTTGTATGTGTTGGTGGGCTCCTGTGGTGCTGGGGCTATTTAAAAGAGACAACGATGCTTAGCCCATGTGGGACTAACAGCTGGGAATTCAAGTGTGTTGGGGTTTGGGAGAAATGTTGGCTCTGAATACAACCCAAAGAGGGTAGTTGTTGAATATACTGGAAGGCATGAATGTGGACTGCTTGGTTTAGGCAGAACACACAGAAAGGTGTTCAGGGCAGGCAGAACCTTAGGTAATATCGAGTTTTACAGAACTGAAGGAAAGAGACTGAGTGTCAGAGAGGTAAACGCCAAAGTAGGAGAGAGTATCTCTAGGGATTGAGGAATACTAACCCTAAGAAAAAGACTTCCAAAGAACCATTTCAAGGCACAGCTGGGCCATAGGCTATGTTACAGCACATAAACATACGTATGTGCACCATAGTGCTGAGGCTCCAGTATTAAGATCTGCTCTGAAGTTTGGTGTGAAAATCACCAGGAAGTTAGGGCACTGGCTCAAGATGAGGAGAATAAACTACTGGTCTTTTGTGTTTTAGGATAATAGGTGTTTATTGACATAAGTGAAAACAAAATATATTGACTTTATAGCAAGAGTTTTCTTTTTCATTATAGAAGGAAACTAGTTGACTGTAGTTTCAAGGATAATTTTTCTTTGTTTTTAAATTTTTAATTGCTGGTGTTTTTGTGTGGTTAAAAATATGTTTGTAGGTTCCTCAAACTGCTAAACATGAAGCTTCCCTATGACCCAGCAATCCCACTCCTAGGTATCTACCCAAAAGACACAAAAACACTGATTGAAAAAGATACTTGTACCCCCATGTTTATTGCTGCTTTATTTACAATTGGAAAAACATGGAAGCAGCCCAAATGCCCAAAAGTAGATGACTGGATTAGAAAGATGTGGTACATATATACAATGGAATATTACGCAGCAACCAAAAAAGAGAAACACATGTCTTTTGCAGCAACTTGGATGGAGCTGGAAAAGATCATGCTTAGTGAGATAAGCCAGAAAGAGAAAGAAAAATACCGGATGGTTTCACTCATAGCAGGAGTATAATGGACCAGGCGAGAAAATAACAAAAATAATGAACAACCATAGACCAGAGACATTCTGTGGGGGTGGAGTGGGGAATGGGATCAAAAACGGGGGGGTGGGAGGGATGGAAATGTACGGGACTATGGTGGTGGCACAGGGGTGATTTGGTGATGGGAAACCCGTGGGGATTACAATGGAGATGAAAAAAAAATGTGCAAAATGATGTAAAAATAAACTTTAAAAAAAAAATGTTTGTAATCATGGTAGCAAAAGATGTTGCTCGTTTTGATACCCTCCCCTGTACCACCAACATATACTTGACATTCTTGCAAAAAAATAGTGTCCTGGGCTCAGCCTGGTAGCTCAGTAGGTTAAAGCACCTCATTATGAAGGTCTCCAAAGCCACTGCAGCATGAGTTTAATCCCCGGCCAGGGAGCTGACCCACATGGCGTGGCAGACCTCTTCTGACCCCACTGCTGTTCCCCTCAGCAGTGTACTTAACAGTCTGCCTGTTCTTCAATCTGCCTGTTCTGCTCCCCACTCTGTCTCTGGTGAAGCCTCTCACCTACCACACCTCTGGCCTGTACCCCAGTTCTGCAAGCATAAATAAATAAATCTTAAAAAAAAAAAAGTGTCTTTTGTGAGAGTTGACATGCATGTAGGATACAGTCTGACCCAGAATGAGCCCTGCTCACTCATGCATTAGTTAACAGGCAAGCAGACCTCATGGCTAGCTAGGGACCCTGATGTGACCTTGAAACCAGTTTTACCTTATTGACTGCAACCAAAAGGAATACCTAGAAAGCAGTGACATAGACAGTCAGTCATGGACAGGAGAGCCTTTGTGAAGTCCAGTTTTCCAAACCAGAAGCTCCAGCATTCCATTGGAAGCGGGGAAAGGGTGTTTGAGTGCATTAGAATGAGTAGGAACAGCGCACTCTACCTGCATTGCCCCCTCACCCTCCCAAGAGAACTTCCTTGGGCCACGACCCTACTCTCCACCCAAGAAAGAATATATGAGCACCCACTACTGCCTCCCAGAGAGGCTCATTTTTCCCATTCAGAGCACTTAGTTTGGGATTCCATGACTAGAGGAGGTGGTCAGAGGAAGAATCTGAGAAAGTGGCACATATGACTCTGAGAATATTAAAGGGACACAGATTCTACTGATTGCCTGATGGGCTCCCTCAAAACGGCTGTCTGTGACTTCTGGGAAAGCCCCACCTATAAATCTCCTCAATTGACCCACGAGTACCCCTGGTCCTTATGTGCTGGCAGCCCTGCAGTTAGCTCCCTCTGCATGCTCCTGAAGGCAGTAGCCAGAAAAATCCTTTGAAAATGCAGAAAACAAGCCCAAATCTGTGGACCTGGGAGACAGCACTTAACCTGTTGCAAACCAGAAGAAAGGTTGTACACCTTCACCTTGGTTCACTGCAGAGCAGAGAAGACATACGTGCTTAGGGATCCACATAAAAAGAATCAGGAAGCCTTGGCAGGCATATCTTAGGAGGGTCTAAGAAAGCTTCAGAATTTCTTTGTGAGCGGACAAGGAAGGTATTTTTCTCCTGAAAGCAGTAAAGACTTGAGGAGGTGACTCTAGTTCAGCATACAACTGTAAGAAAATATAAAAACTGCAGGTGTAACATGGCACCACCAGTCAAATCCAGACACACAGAGATCTGTGACTTACCTGGTAATCCAGAATAGCTGTGTTTGAGGTATGTCCAGTGTAGGGACCCTGAAGAAATGGCTCCTCTGTTTATAACACACCCAAGAGGAATCTGGGGTCATTTACCACGGTCACGAAATTTGTTGCTTTCCCATGAACAGATACCCCATAGGTAGAAGTGTAGGAAGCAAGCAGGTGAGTAGAATTGCAGTATATATGCCATTTGTTTGAATGTTTTGCAGTCATAAGTTCTTTTCATCTTTGCAGTAACTATCTGGTATTGGTAGTATTATCTCCATTTGCAAGATGAGAAAACTAAAGCACAGAAAGGTAAAGGAATTTGTCCAAGGTTTGACAGTCCATTAGAAAATACAGGATTTGGGATTGGAGGTCAGGTAGACCGGCTGCAGAATCCATGTTCATACCTTTATTTTTTCTCATATGGTGTACCTCTTCAAATAGACCATGATCATTTTTACAAATTAATTTTCTCATATACATCTTGACCCACCTTTTAGGTTGACTGAGATAAGCCAGATTCACTCTTTAAATAAAAAGATCTGTTTTAAGGAAAGTCAACAAGCTGTAACAAAGCACAGAAAGACAATTCACTGAAATAGGAAAACAATACGTAAGTATATAAGTTTAACAAAGAGCCACAGAAATCATTAGAAAGAGCCTAACAAATTCTAGGGGGAAGAATTCAGTGAATGAAATGAAAAATGCAATAGTGAACAACAGCAGATTTGATCCAGGAGAAGAATCAGTGAGATTGGAGACAGGAACTTTGAAACTATCTAGTTAGAAGTGAACAAGGAAAAATAATGACAAGAGTAAGGAAAGAGTGCATGATCAATATGATACATCAGAAGGGCCAGTTTGTTTATCATTACCATCAGGAAGATAGAGTGAAGAGAGCAGAAAACTTTTATTTTATAAATATATTTTTTACATTATTCTTCATTTTGTACATTTCTTCATCTCAGCTGTAATCCCCGTGGACTTCCTACCACCACACCCATGTGCCATCATCATAGTCCCGTGTGTTCTTTCTGCCTCCATTTTGATCTTGTTCCCCTCTCCTCCTCTGTAGAGCTTTCTTATGTAATGACAGCTGAACTACCCAAATCTGGGGGAAGATACTGGATATCCAAGTTTATTAAGCTTATTATCATCAACAAAGCTTAAATATATCTTCTCTTTAAGACATAAAAATCAAAAACAGGATAATCCTAAAAGCAGCAAGAGAAAAAAAATCTAACAAGTGAATCTGTAAAAGGCTATCAGTGTATTTCTCAGCAGAAACCTTACATACAAGAAGAGAGTAGGATTATGTATTCAAAATACTGAAAGAAATGTATTTGCTGACTGAGTACTTTACCTAGCAAATCTGACATTCGGAAATGAAGAGCTAAAAACTTTCTCAATTAAGCGAAAACTGAGGGAGTTAATCACCATTAGACCTACCTTACAAGAAATGCTAAAAGGAGTTCCTCAAGCTGAAATGAAAGAATACTAATTAATAACATAAAAATCATGCAATGTTCTGACTGGTAAAGATAAGTTTATAGTCAAGAACACTCAAATACTGCAATATGATGGCATGTTAAGTCTAAGACTGTGTATTAAAGAGTATTTTAAAAAACGTGTGAGTGTAGAACATCATTTACTTACATCTAATTTCTGTAATCAAGTTTACAAATTTACATACTGATAGTCTTATTACCATATACGGAATAGATGTTTAACTCTAAAATACCGCATGTAACATACATGTGATTTACCAGGGTATATAGTAAAGCAGTTTTTCTACCTGTATTCTGCTTTGCTGTATTTTAAACAAATCATTCAGTACTGATCACTTCCCCAGGTTGGTTAGTTGGGTTTATATTGTTATTTCTTGCCTACAGGAATTAAAGTTGGTTTTCTCATACTCAGGTTAGATTAAGAAAAATGTCTTCTTGATCCGGTCATCTATTTTAGGGCATTTGTATTGCTTTCATAGCTTACCTGTTGTAAATAGTGCTGCAATAAAAATAGGGGAGAAGGTGCTCTTTTGAATTAGTGTTGGGTGCCCAGGAATGGAACTGCTGGATCATCTGGGAGGTCCATTTTTAGCAATTTGATGGTACATGGGTGGATTGGTGGTAGGAATTGGTAGTAGGAATTCGAGATGATAAAGTATATATTGTATAAAAATGAAGAATGATACCGTCTATATGTATACTATATATATATATAAATGGAAAATCTCTTTTTTAAAGCAATTTGAAACAATGATAATGGAATATTGTTAAGGGATTTTTGTTTACTTTTAAACAGAGCAACATTTTTCAGATGTCGTGCTTAGTGAAGAATTTCTCAATCTTGGCATTGAACAAGTGTGCAGCTTAATTTCAAGTGATAAGCTGACTATTTCCTCAGAAGAAAAGGTAAGTAGCTTTCCATTTCTCAAGTGTGCAGAAGTATAATATTTTTCCTTTATATTTACTTTGTTTTGTAAATTTGTGACCCTGCATATTTAGTGACAGCCAGTGATCTTTAACTGAAAATTAAGAAACTCAACTCCTTGATTGTATAAACCACCGTTTCTTCACTCCTAAGGAGGTTCCCTAAATTGTTAGAAGTAGGAATTTATGTGCTTGACTTCTATATCCAGAACTTGTACCCATGAAACAGTCCTGATCCAAGTGCCCTTGGGGAACTGGGCAGCTAGATACCTAGAAGAATTGTGATGTAAATGGCAAGACTTTTCCAACCAAAATCATTTCACTGTTGTGTGAGAGGGAAGGAGTCATCAAGGGTGTCACAGTTTGCTAGTTTCAGACTGAATGTCCCAGACCATGCTCTTCCTTTCGAGTGGTCCCTTGCTGCTTTCTTCCTCCCTCCCCGAGCACCTGGCAGCTGCTTCATCTGGTGTGGCCCCAGTCTCCACATTTGGTTTGCCTCTGTTGGCCTCCACACTTGTCACATAGATGATGACAGAAGCTTCTCTGGTGAGATTTTTCTTGTGGTAGGTTTCATAGCATATGGGAAGTAGGACACAAAAGTTTGTGCAAGTGTGTTTGGAGGAAGTTGAACTTGAGTTTTTCCTGTATGTGTTTTGCACTTAAAGTTGTGTCAACTTTAGTTCTGTTTCTCAAACATATTCTTTCTGCCAGAGGGATAGAGTTTACTCTATCAATTGCCATAGGGGGGAAAAAGTGAAAAGTGGTTGTGAAGTGTGTAATCTTAGCCCTCTTAGAAATCTAGAGGAGAGGAAGATTTACTATTCACACTTACTACACAGACACCAAGTGTTTGCCATATACCAGACTTTACTGTGGGGGCCCAGATAGAAGAAGATTAACAAAATGAAATTCTTAGAATTCTTTACTCACAGAGTAGAGGGACAAGCATAGGAGTAAATAAGTGGTGGCAGATGCTGTAGAGGGTGCTGGAATAGCACTTAGTTATTCTTGGGTGTGGATGGAATGGGAGTTCGGCTTGGATCCAGGAGGTCTCGTCCAAATTTCAAAAATCAGGGAAATAGGGATGGGTGGGAATGGGGACAGCATTCCAAGTAAATGGACCAGAACATGCAAATATAAAGTAGTATGACAGAATAATTCATTCAATTTGGCCCATATGATGAGATTTTTGAGTTATGCTTATAATAAGTGTAATAGGACATAAAATAGAAATGTGACATAAAATAGCCATATTTGAGAAAATTGACTTTGTGTTAGTGATGAAAAGTTTTCAAAGACTGTCAAGCAATAGGAGAATGCCATAGTAATACCTGCATTATAAAGTGTTATAAAGACTCTTCTGATTTCTACCACTGCATAATAAGCTACCTCAAAATGTAATTACATGAAACAGTATCCATTTCCAGGGACAGAATCCAGGCAGGTCATATAGGGACAGCTTCTCTGTTGTACAGTGTTTGGGCTCTAGCTGGGGTTACTTGAATGGCTGGAGGTGACTTATATGGTCCTATTGGGCTCAGTCTGTTCTGGACTTGGTACCTTTGTGTCTGGAATAGCCAAACGACTCCTTCACTCACTTGTTTGTTCCTGGGCTGGGAACTAGTTATTGTCTCTTTCAGTCCCTCCCTTCCTCTTCCCCTCCTCTCTTCACTTTTTGTAGTTAGTTTCTCATAGCATGGTGTTTATGTAATCAGATTTCTTACATGACATTGGACTTTGTCCAGTTAAGAATTCCAAGAGACTGGAGTGTGGAAACTTAAAGGATTCTTAGAAGCCAGCTTCGGTAGTCACACAGCATTGCTTCTACCATGTTCTGTTGCTTACACAGGGCCAGCTTTGATGTCATGTAGAAAGTTACCACAGAAGGGGTGGGTGCCTTGAAATGTGGTTTATTAGGGGATCAGTTTTGGAGAGTAGCTCTCACAGTGATAATTTGTAGAGTGGACCGAAAGTGAGTGAGGATCAGAGAGAATAATGAAATCCATACCAGGGCCAGTAGGATCTGATATAGGACAGTAGAAGCCGGGGAGAAGAAAAGATGGGGCCAAGAAATGTGGTAAGTTTCTCACTTCATGTCGTCATAGATTCTTGGAACTGTGACTTTAAATGAACCTATGTAGAAGGAAAGCAGGTTTTAATAACATAGTTTTCCTTTCAGTGCAGCCTGGGATTACTTATTTCTCATCAACATAAAAAACATGATTTGAGGATTCACTGTAGTTAGTTGATGGAATTGACAGGATCCCATTTACCTGTAGGACCTGGCATATTGAGGTCCAGTAAGTAAATACTTACTGACCAAATCAATTAAAGAGACATGTTAATGAAAATGTAGATTTTTTTCCTTTCATTTTCAGTATCACAGTAAACTATTTTTACTCCCAGTAATCATTTATCTATCACTAAACATTTTATATAACTCCTACAAGATTAAGAAGCTATGTAGTCATCAGCCTGGAAGGAATGTATGTACTTAGGTACTCTCTTTTCTTTTAGCTTACTAGCTTTCTTAAGAGGCATGTATGTTGTAATGCCTCTAATATTTAGGGTTTTTTTGTTTGAAAATATTACAATTTAATATATTCTGTTGGGACAAAAGAGAGTTCTTCTATTTTGCAGACTCTCAATTTAGAAGTGTATGATCCAACATCTGTTTGTAAACCTGAAGAAAAACCAAAAATATAGTTTTTATCTCAGAATATCACTTATCATTTTGGTTACTTTATTCCAAAAGGACTTGAGATTTAAATATAGACAACCAGATTTGGAAGTGTTATCAGCAGTGACTTAGATCACATATCATCAAATTATCATAGTCCCTGCTCAAGTTGAAGATGATTGAATACTACTAGTATCAAGTACCAAATGAATGCTACATATGTAAACATACTAAAAGTACTTATTACTTCCTAAATTAAATACTACCATTTGATTAATCAATGCCATTTTAGGGTGTATCTCCAAAGAAAACTAGAACAGGGAGACATCTGCGTTACTCTGTTCATTGCAGCATTATTTACATTGACCTAAGTGTCCATCAGCAGACGAGTGGATACAAAGATTTGTGTGAGCAAGAGAGTGCATGTGTGTGTGTGTGTGTGTGTGTGTGTGTGTAGTTGTATATAAAAACATGTGGCTAGGCTATTATTTAGCCATGAGAAAGGAGGAGAATCTGCCCTTTTTAACAGCATGGATAAAACTTGAGGGTATTATGCTACGTAGAATAAATCAGATAGGGAAAGACCACCTATATGTGGGATCTAAAAAACCAAAATCCTAGAAACAGTTGTGATGGGGGTTGGGGGTGGATATTGGGAAATGGGGAGATGTTGATCAAAGGCTACAAACTTTCCATTATAACCTCTGAGGATCTAATACAGTGCGGTGATCAGAGTTAACAATACCTATTGCATAGTTGAAAGTTGCTGAGAATGTAGATCTTAAATATTCTCATTGTTTTTCTTTAAAAAAAGGTAGTTATATGACATGATGGAGGTGTTAACTAAAACTGTGGTGGTAATCACATTGCAGCGTATAAATGTATCAAATCAATATGTTGTACACCTTAACCTTACACAGTGTTATTTGTCAATTTTATCTCAGTAAAACTGCGGTGGAAAGTGCTTACTGTATACCAAATAGACAAAGAGTGAAATAGTGTGAATGGCCTTTTAAGTACATCACAAGTCAGGTTTTTGAAAACATTTGAGCCACGTATTAAATTTGGCTGCCTTAGCAAGAACTGTACAATAAATGTAGTTCCATCACATTTTATTCAAATGGCTTAGTATATGAATCATTACTTGTTTTTTTTTCCCCCATATTTCTTGGAAGGTATTTGAAGCAGTAATAGCTTGGGTGAACCATGACAAGGATATAAGACAAGAATTTATGGCTCGACTGATGGAACATGTACGGTTACCTCTGCTTCCTCGGGAATACTTAGTTCAGGTAAAAGCCAATGTCAAGACACAAACACCTGTTGCGTCCTGACCTCTAGGTTACCATCACCCAATGATAAGAGCTCCAGAATTCAGATGGATGGGGCCAGGACAGAAGAGAGTCGAGGTACCTGCAGTCCTTGGCAGCAGCTGCTTAGGCTACTCCCGTTTCTTAGAAATTTAAATACCACTATTTCTAATTTGGGTAGCAAGTATGTCAGTTTATCAAGGTCATGTTTCTGGCCTTTTAAGTGCAGGTAAACGAATACATCTGTAGTCTGTGTCACACTCTCTGCCCTCCTTGCTTGCTGTTGGACAGCCTCTCCTGATTGCCCTTAAGAAATGGAATTTCAGCCTTCACCCCAAACTGTTTAATTTCACTTCATAATTTCATGGCACATATTTGCTTTCCATATTTCTAAACTGTGGGAAGCCAGGATATTTGAAATAGATAGGAATAGAATGGTTCTTTTGCAGTCCCTGAACAGTTTTAAATGTACCCTTTTGTTATTAGCAGCCTGCTAGGAAGATTTCAACATTTTCATAATTGAGACCATGAAAGGAGACGTTTCTTTATTGAGAGATTAGATCTGGACAGGTTAGAATTTCCTGAAATTTCCCTGTTTGTTGGAGTCTGTGTAGTCATAAGTATGCTGTCCTCAAGACAGTGAGCAGAAAACCCCTGCCCTGCACTTGAGGACTGAGGCATAATAACCAGGACCAGATTTATTTGTGAGATACTTTGCTTTGAAGTATAAAGAATCCATCATTCCTCTTCTGAATTTTTACTCCCCTTCTGTGTTTGATAAAGGTATCTTTAATATGTTAGTATTCCCTGCCTTGCCTAACGTATACATTGTAATTTTTCTCTTGTTTTTGTTAATATGTGACTTGATATTTGAAGATAAGAAACAGATATAATGTTACTTGAAGATTATCCTATAGCTGACAATTGAAGTATGTAATTTTCACTGCTCTTCTCTTTTCTTACATATAGTTTTCCCTCATAACCAAGCATTTTTAGTTCTATTTTTCTTAGTGATAAAGTTTAGGCTGAACTAGAGAGGATGGTTATTGTCTTTTTCTTTTTCTCTATTTCTGTTTGTTTTCTCATGAGACAGTACCCTCTCCCCCCCTTTTTGTTTTTAAGATTTACTTATTTATGTATACAGAGCTGGGATACAGGCTAGAAGTACAGGGGTGGTGAGAGGATTCACCAGGGACAGAGTGGGGAGCAGAACAGGCAGATCGATGAAGTACACTGCTGAGGGGAGCAGCGGGCATGTCAGGAGAGGTCTGCCACGCCATGTGGGTCAGCTCCCTGGCCGGGGATGGAACTCGTGCTGCAGTGGCTATGGATAGCCTCATAGTACTGTGCCTCAACCTGTTGCACCATCAGGGAGGGCCCATGAGATAGTCCTCTTAGGGATATGTGTGGTTTCTTTTACAGAGAGTAGAAGAGGAAGCATTGGTTAAGAACAGCAGTGCTTGCAAAGATTACCTCATTGAAGCTATGAAGTATCATTTGCTGCCAACAGAGCAGCGTATATTGATGAAGAGTGTCCGAACTCGACTGAGGACCCCGATGAACCTGCCCAAAGTAGGATCTATTGTTCATACTTGTTATTACCTCATCTGAAAGGCCCATAATGAGACTGCTAATATTTTTACTCATCTGAATTTCCATCCCGTATTGTTTTAATTTCCCTGCAATAGAAAATGTGTCTAAAAATTCATTCTAGTGTATATAATTCAACTTTTCTACTGATTCTGTCTGTGGAGGGTGGGAATTATTTGATTCATTTAATCTTTATAAAGTGTGTGATGTCGCTCTTCTGGAACAACAAGCAACTAATTTTTGTACCTTCTGAGTCTTATTAGCACAAGGTATAGTAAAGGAAAATCAGTCTATGTTGAAAGATTTCCCTGTAAGCTGTGTTTATTTAGTAACTGAAAGCCAAGTAGTTTCACAGGATTATATACTGTTAGCATGAAGGATGATAGCTAGCTCATTCAGGCCATCTCCTTTTATTCCCTGTTGTGGACTATTTGATGGTTCACCCAACATCGTATGTAGTCATTTCAGTGTAGGTTTCCTGGAAGTCTTCCCAGATCTCCGGTGCTCATATATTCCAGTGTGAATGTTCACATTCTACCTTTATCTTTTTAGTTGAGGCCATTCTTGTGTTGCTGATTTAATTTTCCTTATAAAATAACCCCTCATTTCTGTCTCTCTGTTTGCAGTTCCTTCTGATCTGTTTGCCTCTTATCGTTCTAGAAGGCCAACACTTTAATTACCACTTGTGTATGGTCTGATCAGAATGGTCCATAATATAATGCTTTTATGTATGTATTTATTTTTAGCTCTTGTGTATGTTTGGGGCAATGTTGAATTAAGAAATAAGAATCTGTTATCCATTTTTTTCTTTATATCACCTTTAGTTATTATTCTACCCTTTCTATTGAATTATGTCTCTTAAATTCTTCCACTTTAATGCTTTATTTAATGGGTTTTTAAGTTTTATTTTTAAAGTCTACATTTTGAATTGCTTCAACTCTATATTGGCATCACATTTCTGTTTTCCCCAGTGTTGACAACCCAATTCTCAATTTAGAACCAGTTGCAGATTTTGCCAGTGTCCAATTTACTCATTTTCTTAGATCATTAGTAAGTGTTTTAATTTAGAATGGACAGCAACTTTCTTGCTGGTGACACCTTATTAGAAATACTCACTCATATAGTCATTTTGTAGAAAGTTTAAGTTCAGATGATTATGTTTATTTTCTAAGCCAAAAAATAAGTTATTTGGCCTATAACATCCAATGAAATTCAGGATCAAATGGATTCAAATTTGGCACAAATTTTCTTTCAACATCCCTCTGCGTGTTACTCATCATTTTATTGGTCCCTAGAACCTTGAATGCTTTTCTCAAAATATTCTAAATGATTATCACTTTAAAAGGTATTTACAAGGCAATCACTTCCTGCCCTGTTTTGAACATTGGTATTTGCCGTTTTTAAATTTTCTGATCTCTCCTCAGTTCTCCAAGATATTTCAAAAATAATTGTAAGTGACTCAGTAAGTACATTAGCTAGTTCCCTTAACACTTTAGTATGCATGCCATCTGGGTCTGCTGATTTTATAAATGTTTACATTTCCAAATACCCTTTTACCTGCTTTTATAAGTAGCCATCTTTATAAGTCTTCATTACTTCATATTTGTCTATTATTATTTGGTGTCAGTTTTTGTTCTTCAAAATAAGATTTTTCAATAGATCCAGAGTCTTAGCCCATTTAAATTACCATCCTTTCATACTAGACTTTTCAACTTCCTTCTGTGGCTTATTTTTAATCTTTACTATTTGTAAAAAATTTTTGTAAAAGAATGTCATATTTACAAAAGATCTTATCTTGTATATTCTCTCTTCTGGCAACTTTAGCTTTGCCATCTTTAGCTACGGTATAGAGACCTTTAGAATGAAACCTAGTTAAGTTCTAACTTCTGGAATAAACATGTCACTTTTGAAAACCTCCCAAACCTTCTTGGTAAACTCTTAACCGCATACTTCATTTTCCCGTTAAGTAGAGTTGTGATCATTTGTTCAGATGACTTTGTTTCTGGGCTTTCTGGTTGTGCTCTTTCAACTATATAATACTTTTGGATCCTCAGTGCTTTAGCTTTTAACGAATGATGGCTGTTCTGTCCATGAAGCTTTTCTTTATTATTATTATTATCATTATTATTATTATTATTATTATTATTATTATTATTATAGTTAATGAGGAAAGAAAAAGATCCAGTAAAACTGAGTAACTCACAGAAGTGGTTTAACTCATTATTACCTTCAACAGTGTCAGCTAAAAACTTAGTCTTGGGAAGAGAAAAGAGAAGGTCACTTATGGGAGTGATAGCACGAGGCTCATAAACACAGTCATGACAGTGGATTTGTTTTCTTCTCTTTGCTTAGAGTTCACTAAAATAATGACTTTTAACTCTGCCCTGTCAGGGAGGAGAGCAACAGCAGGTGTGGGGAGCAGTGAGCAACCCTTTACATGGTGTGATTCCTTCTCATTTTGTTCATCTGTATGTTTTTTGGGAACAAATAATTTTGTTGGATGCTCCTTCCATGGCACTACTTATTTGAAATTCATTTTGAGTAGCTGGGTTAGAGTGAGGCAAAGAGTGATTGCCCTGGCTTCTGTATTCATTTTATCATAGTAAAGATATATCAAATCAGAGAAAAGTTGGTAATAGTGCTGAGAAAGTTAAGGTTTTGATGATAATTTTACCATGACAGTGACTTAGTACTTTTAAATCAGGCTCTGATTCTGTGAACTCATACTATTTTGCATGAATGAGTCTTTTTATATCTCAAACATTAGTTTTGCATCTACCATAAACAGTATTGGGGTTGTGCCAGGCACTCTTGTATTTGGATATAATATGTTTTGCTACTTAGTTGTTAGTTCTTTCTCTGTGGAATCTGTATTTTTATAAAAGCAGTCATATTATTCATAGCACTTCAGTTGAATTTTTCTGTATTTTACCCAGAATATCTATTGAGTGTTCCAACTGGGAAATTATGAGACTTGATTTTTTTAGGAGGCAACCTTTAGCTAATATCAACTGATGAAGAAAATCAAAGAACAGAGTTTGACTTACATTTTAGGATTGGTCACTTGAATTTTAAACTTTTGCCTTAAGTATTTTACATATAACGTTCCCATACTAGAAGCCTCCACAGTTTTCTGGCCCATTTCACTTGTATGGTTAATATGGTATTTCTCAAATGAGATCCAGTTCTTTTACAAATAACTGGGTGTTAGAGTTATGAGCACCTGTTTTGGAAGTGGTAGCACAGTGGTTTTAGCAGTCTCTCCGCCTCAAGCAAATATCCCTGCCCTTTTAATCTTTCCACAACATATTCTTCCTGGTCCCCATTGTTTTTGATTCCTGGAGTCCCAAATCCTTACTCCATTTTACTTCTTATGGGTGAGTAGAGAACAAATATTGTTACTATTCTTTGCACATTTTCTCTTCCATCTTCATTTTGATGTGTGAAAGTGAATTATTGTGTGGGAATCATGGGATTTAACATTTGAGAACAAAATATAATAAATCTATATTGTTTCCCAAAGATTTTTTTAAACATCCCCTTCTGAGAGGTTTTTAAATTGATCTTCCCCAAATCTATCAACCAAGCCTCTTTGAAATGTTCTCTGCCAGACAAGTTTAGATGCTTGAACACAAGTAGTTCTTCTTTAAATCCCTTGACACCAAGTTGATCTTACTGTCTACCATCCCCTATCTCCTTTTTTATTTTTCCTTAAGTGACAGGAGGGGAAGGTGTGGTCGATTTTCTATTACTCTTTTATTTGCATTCAACACTAGGGGAGTGGCAGATCTGGAAAAAATCATAGAATTGATCTACATTCAGCTTTCTTACTGGAATCTAATATTCCTTCTCCTCTCCAGTTAATAAATTACTAAAATAGGCTTCTTTTGGGGAATATAGGATTTACTCTGATCCAGGAATCATGTTTTCTGTGTTACCCATCTTCTATAGTTTTAAGTGGAGGTAGGTCATTGCTCAGTCAAGATTACAAACCTCCCCCTTTTTATATATATGTACATTACATGTTCAGTTTGTTCTTTTTGTTTCTTTTGAATGTTGGTTTTTCCTGTCACCTCATTTTTCACCCAAGGTGCTGGCCATTCTATACAACATTCCATACATGACTCATTAGCTTTTGTGTTCTTCTGATTTGATGGCTGTGTTTTCAGTGTTGGCAGAGTGCAAAAAACAAACAAATGACAAATTCCATCTCTCTCAAGGTTCCACCCTTCCCTCCAGGAAGCTTTCCCAAAATTATGATAAACTTCCATTTTCTGATCAGTAGCAGTAAATGTCTATACTAACCATATAGCTTTTCAGTCATTTATAAATGTGTATTGTTCTTGATTTACTTCATGGGTCTTGTCCTCTTAGTGAGATCTATAAGCTCTTGGGAGGTAGGAACCATGTCTTACATTTCTTATGTATGAGCCCTAGTGCAATTCTGTATAAATGCAGCTGGTAGGCTGTAGATTGATTGAAGAAATTCATACACTTCATTTATTCTCAGCACTGGATTATTGTGCCTTTGTTCATTATAATTCTGGTATCACCATTATTTGTCCTCAGTGGTTTTATTTGTGTGGCATCAAGAGAGGTCTCTTTACTTGAGATCTGTGAATCTGTGCTCTCTTGTGAACTCCAGTTTGATCACTACCCATTCTGCAGTAGGTTTTTCCCCCTCTGTCATCTTTCATTTAATCCCTTACTGTCTTTTCACTTCACCTACCCATGAACATAAGTTTCATTTCTATTTGCTCTCCTGGATTGTGGAGCTCTAACCCTGGTCATGACAAGGCCAGATCTAGTTATAACAAACCCTCTGACGTATCGCAGCCTTGCCAGTGCTGACTGCCTGCTGTTTTTTGGCTTAAATACTGCTTTTGCTTGAAGGATCAGAAACTTATTTTAGTTTCTGAAATCCTTATTTTTGACTAAATGTGCTAGATAATAGAATTGTAGTTCTAACATGTGCCCCCTTTGTTGACGTTTATTAAATGTTGATTAGGTGATTGTTTTCCCCCAACTCACCCCACCATCTTCATCCTAACATGCTCCACATCAGTGTCTTTGTAAGGCATTTTAAATTCCTGAGTGTGGAGTAGTTGTTTGTTCAAGTGCTTATCTTCTGCCCTTCCAGTTGATGGTGGTGGTTGGGGGCCAGGCACCCAAGGCTATCCGGAGTGTGGAGTGCTACGACTTTAAGGAAGAACGCTGGCACCAGGTCGCAGAACTGCCTTCCAGGAGATGTAGGGCAGGTAAGCAGGCCGCTGTGCAGGTAAGCAGGCCGCGCCGCGCAGGTAAGCAGGCCGCGCCTGCTGTCCCACTGCTGTGTTGTTGGGAGCTTTGCTCTCTCAGGTTTTAGTTTACTAATTAGAAAATCTCGGTTAAGGTAGCTGTGGTGAAGAAGTGATTAAGGGGCCTCATACAACTGACAAGGCATTGATGGGGGCACTGCTCTGTCTTCATCTTAACTCATAAGTCTGTTTCTCTAGTCTAAGGTGGAGAGTCTAGCAGCTTGATGGGTGTCTTAGTTACCTCTGCTGAAGTATTGAGAAGAAATGCTTTTGGTTGGTAATTTCAATTCTGGGAGATTCCTGACTTAGCTGTCAGCCACATTTGCCTTCTCCCAGATATCTATTTTACAAGCATTTGTCACAGGAGACCTTAGTTAGCCAGAATTGTAATCAGAAAAGGCAGCAAACACTAAGGATTCTTTGTGGGTCTCAAACTTGGATCAATAATTTTTATCTCCTATAAAAATTCCCAAGTGTAATGGAATCCACTCTTCATCATGGAGACCCTTTTCTTTTCTTTTCTTTTTTTTTTTTAACACACTATCTGGTATTTGGGGGGCAGGGAGAAGGAGTACCCAAATGCAATGTAATTTTTACTGATCTTTAAAAAATAATATAATAGTTTATTTTTACATCAATTTGTGCATTTTCCATCTCAGTTGTAATCCCCTTGGGCTTCCCATCACCAAATCACCCATGTGCCATCAGTTTTTACTGATTTTTAATTGAACTTTAAAATTACTTTTATGTTGAGACGACACTACAGTAAATTCCTTACACATACATCATTATGTACATACGCTAATGTATTTTGTGGAATAAAACTCTAGAATTTGAATTACTGATTCAACAGAGACCCTAAGAGAATACACTCATTATTACATCCACTGACATTAAAATACAAAGGTGCCAGTTTCCTCTCTTCCCTGGTATTACTTTTTAATTAAGTGTTTTGAGTATTGCCAGCCTGGCAGTGAAAGATGTCATCGCATCTTTATTTCTACTACTTTTTTTTATGGGAAAAGTTAATTATCTTTCCAAATTGTTAGTTTGTAAGTTTTGCCTTTTTTAATTGGTTTGTTGGTTTGACAGGTATATTTATATGTTAAGGATAGTAGCTTTTTTAATCTCATGGTGTTTGTGTGTTTATTTGTATTAATCTTTTATCTTTTGACATTACATTATTTTACTATGTAAAAATTTTAGCTTTTTATGTAGTCCTATACATCAGAGTTTTGATTTTGGACTTAAGATTTTGTGTCTTATGTAGAAAAGTCTTACTCGAGAATTACTTGGGTTTTGTTTTTTTAAAACTTGCATAGCTTTATAGTAGATAAATTTATACGTATAGAAGAGTTGCAGAGATAGTACAAAGAATTCTAGTATTCTTACACTAATACTAATAGTGTGCATTAACTGAAATACAAGTAACAAAACTAAGAAATTAGCATTAGCCCAGCACTGTGAACTAATTCCTGCCTTCTTTCCTCTTTCAGCACTTTTCCCATGAATGTGCACATTCCTTCTATATCCCACAATGAATTTGTCTGTCATATTTTCTTTAATCTCTTCTGAATCATGACAGTCCCCAAGCCTTTCTTTGTTTTCCATGCCCTAGATTCATTTGAAGATCACAAGTCAGATCTTTTGAAAGACATCTGAATTTGGATTTGTCAGCGTTTTCTCATTATACTCAAGTAATGATTCTTTCTAGTGCCTCTTCCAAGTGTCTCTCCACGTCTTAACTCCACCTGTCTCCACGCTCCCTGAGTTCCAGGTCCCTGGTATAAGTCCAAAGCGAGCACACACTTCTCTGTGTCTCTTATGTGTCCCTGTGCCTCAGGTTTCTCTTTGCTGCTCAGTTCTGCTACTCATTACGGGAGCAGGGAATATGGAAGTTCCCTTTTTTATGGAGATGCCTCTGTTCCAGAACTTTTTGGCTCCATAAAGTAAACCTATTTGGTTGTATCTCAGCCTGTCACATCCTCTAATAGACCATTTTAAAGCTATTTGGTTGTATCTCAGCCTGTGCACATCCTCTAATAGACCATTTTAAAGCTATTTGGTTGTATCTCAGCCTGTGCACATCCTCTAATAGACCATTTTAATCGAAGCTTGTGGATAAAACCATGTTGCTGATTGTCTTCTAGGGGAGGTTGTAGAATGAGAAAGCTGGACTGACATTTAATTGTTCTGGAGCTACACCTCTCTGTTCCTGATGTATACATGAGAGAGACCCAATAAAATTGAGTATTTTTTTTCTTAAAGCACCAGAGGTTTTATGGGTTCTGTGGTTTTAGTAACAGTGACTCAGTGCTGCTGGTATTTGAAGGAGCCATAGGTAGGATATCAGTGAACTGGTGGGGCTGTGTTCCAACAGCATTTCATTACGGATGCTGAAATTTAAGTTGTCTCTAAAAGTTTGTATGTCACAAGATAGTCTTGTTCTTTCTATTGTTTTCATCCATATAAAATTATAAAAGCTATTCTGAACCCATGGGTTCTACAAAGTAGTCAGATTGCAAGCTGTGATTTACTAGCTCAATAGCATCATAAACGGGAGCGTGCCTGACAAAACTAGTAGCTTTTCATTTAAAATATCATCCAGTAGAAAATCTAAGTTTAAAGCCATAGGACATGCACAGGTTGAAGCTGGAAAATATTGACTCATCATTGAAAGCTATAAATGAACATTTGAGAAGCCCAGAGTCAAAATAATACCTCAGTCCTTGCCACTGCATTGTCCTCTTGGAAAGGGCGACAATTTACCATTATCTGTTATTGCTAATGAATAGCATTTCTTAGGGTCTCTTTGGTCAGGATTCTTCGAAGAGTGTCTTCTGTTCTGACAATAGCTGTCGACTGACAGAAAGCCAGTGGGGGTCGATGAGTTCCGTGTTCATCATTAAATACTGTATTTCTTTTGCAGGGATGGTCTACATGGCTGGGCTCGTTTTTGCTGTTGGTGGCTTTAACGGCTCTCTAAGAGTGCGTACAGTGGACTCCTACGACCCCGTGAAAGATCAGTGGACTAGCGTGGCTAACATGCGAGACCGCAGGAGCACCTTGGGGGCGGCTGTGTTAAATGGATTGTTATATGCTGTGGGAGGATTCGATGGGAGCACAGGTAAAAGTAATTTCCTTTTCATCTCTTCTGCACTGCTGTTAGAATAGCTTGAGGGCCAAATTGTGGAAAAATTAGATGATATTTGAGTGTTTTTACAGGTACTTTAAAGATCAGGTTAAAAGTTTCATCAAGGATTCCTTTAAATGATGTAAAAGTGTTAAGTATATGAGTTTTCTTTCTTGTGTGTCATTATGTCATCTTACCAAGTTCAAAAAGCTAATAAATGCTGGTAGCTTGGATAGCAGCTAGCTGGTTAAGAAACCATTTCTAGTTATCTTTTTTTTTTCTTTTTAATTTTCTTTTTTAATTTTGGTCCAAGTTTAACATACCTGAAATAGTCTTGCCTAATACTATACATAGAACAACAATTACAGTAAATGTTTTTTAGAGGCAGAAATGAAGAACATTGCCTTCTGTTGCAGGTTTATCGTCAGTGGAAGCATATAACATAAAGTCCAATGAATGGTTTCATGTGGCCCCCATGAACACGAGGAGGAGCAGTGTTGGGGTTGGTGTCGTGGGAGGTAGGTGCCATTGGCTTTTTCATGTTAGTTTCCCTGATATAAAGGCTTCTTGATGGGGGTGAGTGGCTTTTCCAGTATTGTTAAGCCCTGGTTGTCTAAATCAGCAAGTAAGTCATTATTTAAAAAGGGAAAATAGTAGTTACTGTAAAATTTAAATTATTCTCTTTTTAAGATTGGCTTGTCTAGATAAGCTAATTTGTAGAAGGGTTGCTTCCTCCTTTTCTTCTCCATTTCTGTGCGTCTGTCTGCAGCCTCTATATAAGACCAGTAACTGCTCTTAATCCTCTATAAGACCAGTAACTGCTCTTAATACGATTATGTGGGAGGAAAGCAGATGGGGTACATAGAAAAATTGGTATCTGGAAAAGGGCTGTTTAGCATCAAAGGAAGAGGTTGCTGCAATTGTTTACTTACATCCGACTTTGTTTCCCAGCAGAGTTTAAGAGTCTGTTTTTTGTTGTGACTTTTAAATATTTGCTTTGGCAAATTTGTAGGTTCCAACTCATCCCCCCTCCCACCCCCCATGGATACAATTCTCTGTGCATTTTCTAATTGTTATTGAAGTATAATTTACTTATACAACTCACCCATTTAAAGTATATAATTCAGATTGCTCCCATCAAAATAATTCCATTTTAGAACATTTTTAAAAATAATGTGATAGTTTATTTTTACATCATTTTGTGTCTTTTTCCATCTCAGTTGTAATTCCCATGTGCTTCCCATCACCATAACACCCATATGCCATCGCCATAATCCATTGCATTTCTGCCCCCGGCCCCTCCCCTCCTGTTTTTTGATCCCATTCCCCATACCACCCCTGTAAAATGTCATGTCTCTGGTATGTAGTTGTTCATTGTTATTATTTTTTCCCCCTGATCCTTTATACTCCTTCTATGAGTGAAACCATCCAGTACTTTTCTTTTTCATGCTTATTTCACTAAGCATGATCTTTTCCAGCTCCATCCATGTTGCTGCAAAAGGCATGTGTTTATCTTTTCTGATTGCTGAGTAATATTCTATTGTGTATGTGTACCACATCTTTTTTTTTTTTTTTAAAGATTTATTTATTTGTGCATACAGAACTGGGGTACAGGCCAGAGGCACAGGGGCGGCGAGAGGCTTCACCAGAGACAGAGTGGGGAGCAGAACA